CTCGGTTCCGAATTAGGTCCGCTCTTCATTTTTGAAACTGGGCATAAAAGCGCGGGGCGGCCATACTGTAATTCTTATCCCTCCCCTCATTATTCGCCAAACAAACGTTCCAAAACCAATTGGAAATACGACATAAATAAAGCCTGCGCTCCACCTGGCGGGAGCGAAATAATGAGAGTTTATGTTAACATAAAACGCGCAGAATTCCTCCCCAGGTATTCCCCACGATAATAAAAAAAAAATTTCAATTTACCGTGTGAGTGGACGAGAGGTCACACTTGTCCACCAAGTGGTTATGATGAAAAAAATAAAATCAGTTAGAGTCGAGAGATGTGAGCAATGCCCCATTGAACCGAATAAATAAAACGCCGAACCGCCAACTTGTGTTATCAACAGACACATATAGGACTTCTCCCTCTCTTTAATATCGTTGCTGGTGAAACCTCTTCTCTTGCGATCTCTATTTATTAATTACACAAGTCATGATCGAAAATTTCAAATTCAAATGAGTTCTGAAGTCAAATTAGCCGCCTAAGGCGGCCGAACCAATGAGGAATAAGCGTGACAGACTTTGAAGATATCGATGGTCTCGATGTTTGTTCTTTTTCACTTCGTTCGGTTAGAATGCTCACTTTCGGCGTATGTAGGCAGAAAAATCGTATTCAACCCTCGGGAGGAAACACAGACAAGCATTCCCCACGTGCAAAATTACCACCCGAGCCGAAGGCGAGGACTTATCTACTCTTCCTACCTAGGGGAGAAATATACTATTTTTATTTAAAAAAAGAAATTCTAGGAGGATTTACTCAAGGGATGCTATTATTTTAGAAATAATACAATCTCATAAATTCATTTATTAAAAATAATAATTTGTAATAATGTTCAACACTAATTACAGAGTTCTTTAACAAACTTCTTGCAGCAGACATGATAATTGCCACAAATAAGATATCAGATTTTTGAAAACAATCTTTCCTCCGTAAAGATCGTATTAAGGAGTTTGTTATGATATATTAGGGGGTAAGAAGACATGCCGATTTAATGAAAATTTTATATTAGGTACTCGCATAGATTTGAAAATGATGTGCAAAATTTCAGGGGATTTGCGAACACCGTTCATTAATAATGATTGTTTATGTCCCAGCAGGAGTAAAGAGAGCGATCCTAACTTCTCTTTGATCGATTCGATCGCACTTTTCATCCCTTGGGGCATAAAGTAGTATATGCACCACGGTCGAAAAGTGTCTTCTCCTGGGGGTGCATAATATACTATTTTATAATCGATCTTTAACCTATGGCCTTATGGGAATCCACAAAACCTCAGTGAAGAAACACAAAAATGATCGCAGAGCAATGAAACTTCGGGTATTGATAAATAATACCCTTGCCGACAAACGGTATATTTTTTCCAGTCGCTTAAATGAATAACTTACGTTAAATACTAGAAATCGAATCGAAATTAACAGTTAATCACAATTTTTGCGCGCACAACTGAAATCTACGACAACGTTTCATAAAACCATCAGTGTAGGGAGGAGATCGCGTTGAACTCAAATATGACTGATATTCGGAATCACATGAATTCTTTCAGGTTTTCGAGATGTTACATGAATTTAATAATAAACACAATGGTCAGCAAATAAACGATCATCATATTTGGAAAAAAATATGATCAAGTAGTTTCTCTCCACCAGGGCATGATTTTGGAGCACGCGTAAGTGAGGTTAAGTAGCGGATAATGTTTAAAAACAATTAATGTGGTCAATACCGGAAAAATAATCTGTATCTCTAATTGTTAGCATACACTGATCATCAGCAATTCACTTTTAGTCCCAAGTTTTTTACTTTTCATTTTTATTGTTGAAGTAGTAATATGAGCAAAGCGAAAGTAAAGAATAGTGTGTGTCATAATGAGCCAATGTGTGTCACTTGTGCCAACTTGTGTCACAGAAATTTTCTACTGAGCGACGTTGCCGCTATTACCCAACCAATATTAATTTTTTAAAATATTTTTAATTATTTATATATTCGACTCTTTAACGAAATTTATCTATCGCTATCAAAAAATTATAACATAAGGGATATAATGACTCTGAGAAGTCGGCTTCTTATAGCATTTAAAAATTTTACTCTTTCATGTTCAGGGATTGGAACACTTACGAAAATCCTACCATCCCCTTGCCACTCACCGCTACGGTATTGGAAGTAACTCCTTAAATGCTAAGCCAAACTCCGAAGATGATCCATCATGAGGATCGTGAGTTTGGCAGCTTTGGCCATTTGTCCTCCACTTAGATGAAATTTCAGCGCAATCTCTGTTTGCCATGCTGTCACCAGTAATTTGGTGAATGGAAGGGGATGCCTAGACTCTGGGGAAAAAATACACTTCTCCAAGCCATTTTTGCAGAAGTATCTCTCTCATAAAAATCAAAAATAGCAATGAAATTTAATTATAAAGTAACGGACTAGAAAAAAGTGAAATAGCCACTCGGAGATTGAACAGTCTCCGAGCGGTCCGTGAAACCGTCTCTAGTGGAAACGGTCACACCGTATATTTTTTACAGAGGTTAACCTTAAAATGTATTTTATCCCCACCGATACTCCACTGAACACAGAGAGTCAGAGTCAATAACTATTTCGTGGGGAGACAACCTCTGAGACTTTTCTTGACGATTCGAAGATTATGGATTATTGACTATTAAATTACGCAGAATATCGAGTTTCTCGGATAATGCGGCCACTAACTGATCGTCTGGGTTCAACACGTGTTGCCGATGTTTCAGGGACGGAGGTGCACCCTGGGGAACCCCACGTCACCCCGCAAATATTCAAAAAATTCATTAAACAAAAATTACTCGCCAAAAACAATCGGTTTCCTCGTTTTTTTAATTCTCCCCACTTCTGCCACTCCGTGGAATCCTCTCCTACCCCTGAATTATAAATCAATCATTATCAAATTATCAAAAATAATTATAGATTATTGAATTATCATGAATAATTATGGATTATTGAATTATCATAAATAATTATATATTATCATTGTCACAGATAATTATAGAATAATCATTTCAGCAACTGATGATCTCCATTTTCTTCAATCTTTGATCCCAATTATTTTTTTAAAAGGTTGTCTATCGTTTCTGATTGTTTATCCTAGTGGTGATTTTGTTGATATATTATTACGAATATTTTACAGTGGATGTCAGGAACTTTTTCATTGAAATGAATTCCGAGAAATCAATCGATCGATGGATACACCACTGCGGAGAGATCATTGGTAAAAAAAAGTACTGATAAGAGACGTTATAAAACCGACGAATACCGATTCGCTCTCTTAAAAACTCAATACTCTACAGATCGTGTTCTTTGTTTTCACATTCAGATGGGGGCAGTCCGAGGAATCGAAGAGGAATTCTGTTGATAAGTGAATCTTCATCGGAATTATGTGCGTCTGACAAGAGGAAGAGAAAAAAAATAAGAGGAACAGGTGAGTGAACAGATTGTAGAGGATTTACTCCTGATTCGACTCCTGATGAGAGTGAAATTTTCATTGCTTAAAAAATTTATCCATTCCATTTTTATGAATTTAGTGTCTAATAAAAACTCCAAAGAAAATTACTTAAACTAGGAAAATAATAATAATGACGTTATTGATGTTAATAATATAATAATTAAATAAAATGTTTACCCTAAACACTCATTTCAGCTTCAATTATTTTTTGCGAATTAATTGAGATGTCGTAATTGAAATTTTCCTCGAAAACTTATCTATTAGCTTATCTATGAGCTATTGAAATAATGATATTTTTACCGTTCTATTATTCTCATTCTTAATCTCTAAACACAAGGTCTTGAAATTAATTTTTAGAGTGGCGATTTGATTGATTGTGCTGCCGAATTTTTCAGAGATTATTACGAAATCGTTTATTTTTTATAGATTACATTTTTTAGAGGAGAACTGAATTGACGTTCTAATGACTAAATACATTACATAATTTTCGGAATAATTAAAAAAGAATTTATTATATTTGTAAATTTAATTCAACTAAAAATTAACTTCAATGTTTTTTTTACTACAAATCTCCTCGAAAAAATTAAAAAACGAAAATCTAGAGATTTCTCCCAAATTTATCACTCCTAACTTGTGTTCCCATAGTTTTCAAATTCCTGCTTCAGACAAGTCTTAGCCATGGAGAATTACACATCGGACTCGAGTGACTCTGACTCCTACGTGAAAACCCTGGACCTCTCGTACCTGATGCTGGATGCAGACCTGCTGGGCCAGCACCTAGTATCAACGAAGGACGTTGAGAACATCGAGACACTGCTACTAAACCACAACCGAATAAACTCAGTCCCCCACACCCTCTCAATATTCAAGCACTTGCACACCCTGGACCTATCCAACTGCAACCTGACACGCCTCCCCGACTGCATGGGGGAATCACCCTTGAGGTGTCTTATCGCCAAAAACAATAGCCTCACCAACGACTCGTTACCAAAGACCTTCGACAATGTCCTCAACCTCAGGGAACTCAATCTCAGTGGAAACAGGCTCACCGATTTTCCTGATCAGGTGTTGGAGCTGTTGGAGCTAAAGTACCTCTATCTCGGGGGAAACATGATCAGCGAGATCAGAAAGGAGATATGGAAGATGCAGAAGCTTCAGGTGCTGTCCATGGGTGGAAACAGGTTGACCGAGGTACCAAGCACTGTGGGAAGACTGACTGCCCTTCAAGGACTTATCCTCTGTGATAATATGTTAGAGAGCTTGCCCTCCACTGTCGCTAATCTCAAGAACCTCAAATCACTGCTTCTCCATCAGAACAGACTCAGAACACTCCCAACGGAGATTATCACACTTAGAGGGCTCACTGAGGTAAATATTAATAAATTAAAAGGATAAAACTTAACTGTTCGCACCACCTGCAAAACTTCGTGAGCCATTAAATAATGAAAAAGCAAAAAAAAAGGTCCATTTTTTTACATCAATTTCATCAATGATTTGCCAAAAAATTAAAAAAACGTGAACTTTGATTATCGATCGGTGAAGAACATCCTTATTAAACATACTTATTATTATCAATTTCCTGCAGCAAGTCAATAAATGATGTGTCATCACACGATGAGAGCAAATGGATAATGAATTTATGGAAAAATACCTGTCGATATTGATTTCTCAGTATTTTTGAAACATTCATTATAAAAAAACCGATAAAGATACAGACGTAAAAATCGGGAAATAAATGGAAGACTGTTTTAATGACTTAATGATTATTTCCACTAGCTTTCCCTCCGGGACAACCCTCTGGTCGTCCGATTCGTTTCCGATATGACACACAATCCCCCCTCATTACTGGAAATCGCAGCGAGAATAATAAAAACTTTGAATATAAGCTACGACGAGATTGGACTACCCAAAACTCTGATTGATTATCTCAATTGTGGTCATCGGTGTGTCAATCCCAAGTGTCAAGGTAATGGAAAAAATTCAAATATTGCTTTATCTCTTTTTTTTTCTTCAAGTGGAAAATTTTATTTTGACGCTTATTTCAGGGGTTTTCTTCGACAATCGAGTCGAGCACATCAAATTTGTGGATTTCTGTGGTAAATATCGACTCCCATTGTTGCAATATTTGTGTAGCAGCAAATGTATTGGACCACGTGATGGAGATGAGGAAGTTGTCAGTGGTGCAATGATAAGAAAAGTACTTCTCGGTTAAATAAATCGGGATTACGTCTCCGATGGGTGATACTAGATAGAATTTTGTAAGGATTTTTTCTCTTTTTTGAAAATAAAAAATAGTATTCTGTAAACATTTCAATTCAAGATTCAACTCAATTGAGCAACAATTATAAATTATTTGATAATTATTACCAATTATTTCTCCCAATTCTAGTTAACAAAATAAATTAGCCGAATTATCTTGGGATAATTTTTTTTATTATACTAAATATTTTTCGAATATTTTGTCTCTTAGCTATACATATCTGAGACAAAAAACTGTTGAATCGTGTTAACCACTGATTGAAATTGACAAATTGAATTGTGTTATCCATCGAGTAAAATATGTTTTCTCATTTTTTGAATATTAACTTCGTCTCCTGGTGCAATTCTATTGGCTGAAATTTGAATGAAAAAATAATCCCCCGAATACAACTCAATCTTCGAAATTAATCACATATTTTCCTCTCGGTTTCCTGCAAATAGACGAGTTTGTCAAACTTTCCAGAAGAATCAGTCGCCTCCACGCTCGTGATTTTTTAACCTGAAAAACTTGATACGTATATTTGTTTACAACGAACTATCAGGAAATATCCGATGATTTGGAAGCTCTCATGGTATTATGAGTGAAAATAATTCGAATTATTTGTGAAAATGAAAATTGGAAATTGCCGCGCAAATCCACGAGTTCCTATTGGACAGTAGAACTTCAGTGCACTCACGTTACTCCCAAGCCCTGGGAATAATGGACACCATCAATACAGAGATGAACTCCATTCACTATTGTTTTTAATTTTAAATTAAACTCGGAGACAATTGCCTTCGATTTCCCACGTTTAATGGAGTTTGACCCAAATGCAGAGTGAATAGTCAACAGCTGACAATGTGGGAGTTATACGTCATTATCCAGATATTCTTTTTTAGTTGTTATCGGGTGGCAAGGGGGAAGCTGTCACAATAAATGACGCCGATGATATTGGTCATATCTGGGACATGGGAGAGGAAAAGTGGGTCTGAGTGACTCGATCCTCAATATTGATCTCGTACTTTCACGCCAACTGGCGCTGCATTCAACCCCTCGTTGCTATTTGATGGAATGAATCATTTATTCCTTCGGATATCCCCTGCCTCCTGGAGATAAACCATCTGAAAAACAGACCTCTTTCTAAATTACGTACCAATCATGAATAATTTACGAAATTTTAATCCCCCTATTTAATCGTACTGACAAAAGTACTTGGGTTCTAGCTATTTTTATAAACATAAGCATTCTGGCTTTGTTTAAGGTTTTTTAAAGGTTTTTTTAATTAACCTTTTTCACAAATCTTTAGGAAAATAGCAGGACGTCTTGAGAAATGTCTGGATATATTCATTTATTATTGAATTAATTGAGGATGATTGAATTATTTTGTTGAAGTCATTAAAGTGATTTTTTTGGGATGCTTTTATGCTTAATTTTGTTATTTTCGTGGGGTTTTAATGTTTTTTTTTTTGTAATTATTGCGAATCCTTTGGATTGACAACGGATCAAATTACAATTAATTCATCATATCCCACAAAAATTCCTGAAGAATTCATCAGTTCGTCACCAAAATTGTCGATTAAAATTATGGCTCCCCTTAAAATTTCATATAAATACTGATAAAATTAATTAGCTCCAACTTAAATTTCAAAATCAAAATCAAAATAATTAAACAAGTCTCGATTTAGACTCGTGACGAACACTCCCCGAATATAAAATGACAGAAATCCAATTTCAAACATTTCATAAAATCTTCAAAATAAACTGAAATAACCCAATGAAATAATGAAATAATCCAAAAACTCTAGAGATGAATAATCAGCAAACTCTCCATGGATCCATTGAATAAAACCTTTGTCATTCCCAATTTCCTCCCATTTTGCTGCAAAATTAATTTTATAAAATGAACCAACGACAGGTTTTTATAAAAAAAAAATTGCCCCGCGTGATGTTTCGATTTCACCCTGAGAGTATCGTACGTCACGCACCCACTGCACAGGGGGCGATCCTCGGAGATAAAAGTTCCCCCAGTGGAAATACGCAGACGCATCCCCACGAGTACAACCCCCCGATCCTCACAACCCCCAGTGTTGGGTTGGTACCTACCGGCGGTGGTCGACAAGATACCGATGTTCGTCGGCTATTCCCGTTAAAAGGGCGTTCGCGTCCACATTAATCCGCGATTTACCCCAGAGAGTGAAAAATAAATAATAACTTGTGGACCATAATACCTCAGAGTGATGCCCGATTGGGAAAAACTATGAATTTCCCCGTAGACGGGATCCACCGAAGTCGTGAACATCAACGTGACAATTTCATAATTTCCACCCCATAAAGCGGCATGATGGGGCCCAATCGCGGGCCCCGTATCCCCACCATCGAGTGACGAGAGATTTGTCCGGCACTTCCCCGATTTGAGTGAATTATGGGGTGGTAATGGTGGAAATAATGGTGTTTTTGGGAAATCGCGACTCCTCGCGGATTGTGTTTGCGCGCGCGCCGATATCCTGTGGTCGTTATGCCCTCGGGGTCAGTGTGATAAGTGACTCATTATTTCATACCCAATGTACTATCTAAACAGGAGAATGAGGAGTAGTTGATGAAGAGTTTTTTTTTTCCTTCGATTGTGAGGATTTTTTTTTCTCTCTGATTGGGGATGCTGGGGCGATCGATCGTGATGTGTCACTGATAGCTGTGATAATGGTCCCTCGGTCGTGATGATGATGCTCGTGGGATTTTTCACTCGATTGGACTAACATGACAATTTATCAGTTACTCTTCCAATGATTATACATCGTGCCAATAATTTTTATCGGATTTTTTTATCCTCGGATTAGTGTGGGTCAAGGGAATTAACGGCTGTGAGATTTTTCTGTTGCTGGCAATTTTCTGGGGGCAATCATGGTCGACCTTGGGGGATACATTATCATTCTTATGAATGATAATGGCAAGATCAAACTTTACGGTAAGTCGTAGACAATTTTTTGGCAAATTTTTCGGGGGAAAAATCGCGTGGAAAATCAATGGGAAAAGATTTGGAATCTTTTGCTCAATCATTTTTTCCCTTCCAATTATTCATGCGTTCTTCATATTTATGTACATTATTTACATATTGTTTTTCATACACATTAGGACATAAATCTTCTTTTGTTGGTGGTGGAGAAAATTATTCATTTCGTAGAAATTAACATCTTTGGGGGGAATTCATTTTTAAGATAATAGCGAAATTGTAAGAAATTAATAAATAGAAAAATTGATATTGTAATTTATTTAAATGGACAAGAGAAAATTGCTGTGTGAAGGTGGAATTTTTATGGGGAATGGAATATTGAGTGGAAATTTGAGGAATAAATAAATATTACTGGGGTATTTTAGGGTTGACGGCATTATTTGCTCAATGCTTTGGAGAAAATAGAGAGTAACGTGATATTTGATTCTTGGGAGCATATGTATTCAACAGGTTGATGGAATATATTGATAATACTGGGGGCGATTGAAATCTTGCATATTTCGAGGGACGAACTGAATTTTTGGATCTTTTAGGAATTCGGAGAGGGAAGGGTAAATTACTCTTTAATTTATACCTAAAAAATATAAAATAGAACTCGTCATATAAAATTTAAAGGTTAACGTGAAAATTCAATTGAATTGTCAATTTTAGAATCGATTTTTCCGATTTTGACAAATTGAAAAATTCAATATTTTTATTTTTAATAGAATTGAGTGTAATTTAATTTTTTTTTATTATTCCACCTGTCGTTTTCAAACAACAAACTTTTAATTTTCTTGAGTTTTGACAACCATTTTTGGATAATTGATGTTAATTAATAATTAATTAGTTAACTAAACGTTAATTATCACTGAATTGTATAGTACAATCTCCTCTTAATACTTAAATTAAATTTTCATTAACATTAACATTAACATTAAAATCATTAAACAATAGAAAGTAATGAACTAATGGAAATAACAATGACTTGTTAAAAAATTCATGAGAATATTTACGTGGGTGTCGCAAAGCGATATTAATGATAAATAATAATAAATAATTAGAGAATTAAATTTGAGCTCGGAATTTCCTTAAAGTGAAATAAATTTTATTGAATCTAAAATCTCATTTTTTAACCGCAACACTTTTTCTTCTAATTTCATAAAACTATTTATCTGTATGCAATAAAACACTAGACTGCAATCACTAGAGGCAAACTATTATATAACTTCCCAGAAATTCCTTCGCGATAGTAAAAATCATTACCACAATTGTAACATCATAAAAAATAATACCGGAGGCTCTTTTCTGTCAGACTTCAGCCACAAATTCAATTCATCACAAATACTTAAAGATTCTTTCATTTCCCTTGGGCACAAAAACTACAAAAGACTGTTACATAATTCCGCATAAATTATTTTCACATAGCACAAATCGTAATTACAATTGCAGCGCTATAAAAATGTGAAATTAATGGCCAAAACTAGTCCAGAAAGCAATTAACGTAAATATTTCTTGAATGAAGATAAAAACCAGAAAATACTGGAAAAAAATTGGAATTCCACTGGAAATCTGAATTTTGTGAAAAGAGAACTGAAATTAGAGAATAATTAGATCTCTTTATGTATTAAATTAACTTCAAACTATGATTAAAAATATTTATCCGTGAATAAATAAACAAATAAAAAATTCAATGATGAATTTACGTGAATTGTTGTGATTCCTAGCCTTTTAATGTTAATTAAATTGATTTTCATATTCCAATTAAATTGAGTTGATAAATAATTAATTAACCAAATTTTCTGTTGATTTTTTTGCTTATAATTGCGGGAAATTTGAATTTTTTCAAGTATATTACAAATTCTACGTGTTAATTCTGAGGAATTGAATGAAAAAGATAATCATATCTCACTTACTATCGAATTAATTGCGTACTAATAACATTAATTGTTTAATTTCAGGATCCTCAGCAGATAACGCTGATTATCCGGAACTGGGGGATGAAATTTTGGAAGTCAACGGCCGCACATTGGACAATGCAACTGATTCCGAAGTCAGTCAGCACATTCTCCAGGTACATCGAAAAAAATAAAAACAAAGCCTCTCCCATTACACCGCGATAAAAACGCATGTGCCAAAGTAAACGATAACTCCAAATTTCTAACGAAAAAAAAATTAATATTCTCACCTCCAGCAAAAAATCCCTTAAACAATCGTAACTATTTTTTCTCTGGAATACATGAGTTTTCACTAGATTCAAATTTTCAATCAAGTTTTCTGATATGAAGAAACATAATTAACTCGGAGGTTTTCAAATTAATGAATTATTTCTGGGAGGAAGAAATACTCTGGGTAAAAGTGGAGAGGACAATTAAAATTTTCCAAAAACTAACGCGCATTTGTTTTCTAAATTTGCAGTGCATCAAATCAGGGACCATAAGTCTGCAGGTGACACGTCGCACAGGCAACAAAATCAGTGAGTGAATGATAAATTCTCTGATCATAATAGGAAAAATACCAGTCGATATCTTCATTCACAAATCATTTAATTTCTCGAATATAATTTCCTATTTCCCTGTTATTTCCCTGTTAAGTGTAAATATTTATATCCAACAACTTACGCCTAATTAATGCAATAAGTAATTTTTCTTCCCATTGCAAAACCAAATTTTCCTTCTATTGGAACTCAAATCACTTTCTTTGCACTTTCCATCAGTCAAAAAACTCACTCATTAAATCACCACAAGAAAATCTATTCAACATATATGCAATTAGACATTTGATATTGATATATTTACTCGAAATATGGAGAAAACCCAGAGAATTGAAAATTCAGTGATTTGAATGAATTAATACCAGAAATTTTGAAGAGTAAAAAAAAAACCGAGACTTTATTCAAACGTGGCGATGACTCGTGGCGACTCGTGTATTTCCGCCAGTAGTTCCACCATCGCCAGGTAAATATTTCCCCCTGCGATAGGTCTCAGGTGAGCAAGAAGGGGACAAAGAGGAGGAAATGGTGTTTAAAATGCGGAAGACGAGGACAAAAGCATGAGCAACTATGGAGTCGTTGGGTTGAACCGGCGGGAATGCAACCTTCGTTCCTTTCCTGGTCTCAGTGACTCCGCGATCATTGGCACGAGCTCTCGCGATTTATCCATTGATTAATCGATTGATTAACCAATACACCACCTCCATCGAGTGATCGAGGATCAAACTCGAGGATAAAAAGATCAATAGCTCACCAGCAAACGGGAGATTGTGCTTAATATCATCATCACAAAATGGAATATCAATCGATAATTATTCCCCGGAATATCCACTAACAGGTGAATTCATCATCGACAGCCATATGGAATTTACAATCATCACTCGTCATCACTTTTTTTTTATCACCTTTTCAATTCGCATATGTGTGTCAATCGGATGTAGCTGCGGTAATTAGTCTCTGGAGAGTTCTTCATTTTTATTTTTCCTACTAGGGAAAATATCCCAGTAATATTGTTTTTTTTTTTTGGCAAATTGGAAATTGCTGAGCACTCTCTTGCTAAAAGCTATTTTCGATGGTTACTCGAGACCACGAGTGGAGTGCATTTTGTTGAGTGTCATTTTCATTTGTTCTTCAGCAACAATTCCGGGGGAAATGTTTACCTCGTGCTTTCTTTTTTATTTTTTGGGGATTTTTTTTTTATTGCACCGGGATGACTTTTCACGATTAATCGGGGGACTGAATATGAAGTTATAGTGAGTGTCGAGTTCGAAAGTGAAGGTATAAAGGATTTTAACGAGGTCAGTTGTACATGTCACAGATGCAATAACGAGTGTTTTCGTGCGTGATGATTCACTCGGGAATTCGGCAATTTGAGTGATCGAAATTGTCCCGAGATTTCGATGTTTTTTTTTTTGCGAGATAAGGAGAACGATTTATTGATCGATTTATCGTGGGATTTATCGATTGAAAGAATGTATAGGGAGAACTTTCGTGGCGGAAATTGAAAGAAGATATTCGGATGAAAAAAAATCGAGGGTTTTCATGAGAAATCGATAGTTTTTTGGGAGAATCGATAATTCAGAAAATTTGGAAATTTTAGTGACGAATTTATCAGTTTTCGTGGGATATTCTCGGTTAGTGATTAATTAAGTTGATAAATTAAATTGAGACATGTCAATTGTCGATTTCAATGGTTTTATTCATTTAAATTACTTTACAAATTATTATAAAAACTTATTAAATATTCAAGGAATTCTCGATTGTTGATTTCCTTAATATTAAAAGTTCTTTAAAATACGGAAATGTGGAAAACCGTAATTTTCCTGATAAACAAAAAAAAATATAATGAACGGTTTTAGTTGAAATTGCATTGAATTTCAATAAAAAAATTGAAGTGACATTGTGGCTGAAATTTGGACATTTTCATGTTTTTGATAATGTATGATAAATTGTGGAAAATTTGAGGATGAGGCGATTCTCTGGCGTGAAAGTGGCAAATATTTCTGTACATTAACTTCAAAGTTGTTGTTGAGGGTTTGTCCGTGCGAGAAGAGTTCTGTACAGTTAGAAAACAGGTTTAGCGTGGACTTTCGTTGTATATGATATCGTGATGGTCGGTAAAAAAGCTGTGGGTATTGTCATTACAATTTTCAGTACAGTCTGAAATAATTGATTGACTCGTTCCCATTCGAGTTATGATGAATAACAGTATAAATAACTGAATCCGATACCTCTGGTGTTTGTGGATGGCACTTTGTTCTGGTGGAACGAGTTATCGGCATTGTCTATTGACAGTTTTGGCATTCAATGTTGTTGGCAGGATGACAGATCGAGAATATACTCCATTTGCACTGACGCCTCATTGCACTTGATAAGGAAAATGACAACTGGAAAATTGTTTCTCGCTTTTCCGGAAATCTCAGGGATTTTCAACAAAGTTTTACGAAATTGAAAAAATCTACTTCTAATTTCAAGCAGATTTCACCAATCCGTTCTGACCTTTTAATTAATTAATTCATGATTTCGAGAAAGTGTGCTTTTTCAATAACGAGATTTTGTAGACTGGTCACCTATCAAAATAATATGACTCAAAATAGTACCTCAAAATATTACAACAAAAATATTACAACTGAAAATATTATCGCTTCAAAATATTGCAGCTAAAAATATTTCAACAAAACACACATTATTTCGAGGCATTACAATAACAAGGAAAAAAGCATAATAAATTCTCAGGCAGTACTTAGTATGGTACGCAAAATATATCGATTTCTTAACGTACACTAAGGTAATCCCCAGCTCGCTCAAGAAAATCACAACAATCCACTACAATTAGGGATATTGCTTAAGAAATAATCGGGGGCAACTATATTTTGACAGTACAATACTTGTGCACAGTAAATAATTTATATCATAATCCTTCAATTGATAATTAAAAAGAAAATAATATAATGATATCGCGGAATATCTCGACTTGTAATATTTTGAGGGGTAATATTAATATGGAATAAAATTTAATCTTTCTGTTTCTGTCTTATCTTTCTGTTTCAAGTAGATCTCACCGAATTTCAAAGAGTTTCAAGTAAATAACATGAAAATTATAATCTAATTAATTTACCAGAATAAAAAGATCTTTTTATTGAATAATAAAATGAAAATAAAAATTTTTAATCAATTCATTAGATTCAAATAAACGAAACAACCATTAACACTTAATTAATTCTCAATTTTCTAAAAATTCCTGAATACCTGAAAAAAATGGAATAATAAAAATTGCAGATTAATTCTCTCACCATTAATTACCCCCATTAATGATCGTCCAGTTATGCAATGACGTCTTGTTAATTAGCGCTGAATCTCAGTGATTGTAAATTTTTTCTTGCGGAAACTATGATGGTGCTCATTACATAGACGTTCCTGACGCCCCCATGATAGATCTCCACCCTGATTCACTCCTAAATAGTCTGATACGATGAGTGCACATGGTTTCCTTAATGATATTCCTCCAATGGAATCGATACAGGGGAAAATGTCGCTGACGTACGTTGAACCAACTGGTGGAGTCTCATCGTCGTCTCGTGTTATTTTTTCCTATCTCCTGACATTTTTTTCTTTCTTTTACATCGCCACCAGAGCCGCCGGCATCCAAATATAAAACCCAACTCTCCCTTGTCCAAAAGCTCGAGATGATACATTTGGTGTTGGGTGAAGTCGAGTGTCTGCGATTATTCCGTGAATTTTTTGCCATTGGAATATGGCTGGTGGCAATGGAGATGATCTCAGGACAACCTGTTATCAAATTATTCTCTCGAAATTGTTGTGCTGGTGCAAATCCGATGATTGGGGCTCCAGTATTGTTGGTGATCTTGGAGATGATCCTCCTAGTGGGAATTATAATTGTCCCAGCTGGTATTTACAGCTGGATGATATCAAATATATTGATGATGATGATGATGATGATGATGATGGAGGAGGAGGAGAAGGAGAAGGAGAAAAGGGTATTTTGTTGTTAAAAATAAAGTGTTGATTTATTTAATTCATTGAATCAGTCCCAAGGGGAGGGCCACATAGTCTGGATTAAATAAAGTGCGATAAATATTTGGATTGTGCTAATTGATTTGACGATAAATACTCATCATTTCTATTATTAATCACTTTTTGACCTGTCGGCAGAAGAATTGGACGGGCCAAATGCAGAGAGAATACGAGATGCCTGGGTAATTGCACTTGAGAGGTAAGTGCCACTTAACATTTGCAAAAATAAAGTAATTTCATATCACAAAGGACGGAAAATCATTGCAGGGGTGCTCGAGAGAGACTGCAGAAATTGCCGGGACTGAAGAAAATTCAACCGAGGGATATTCAGGCGATACTCCATCAACAGGTAAAAGCCAGGAGTTTGAATAATTCGATAAATGCATTCGTGTCAGATCTGGAAATGAGGTTCCACTGTACATTATTCAAATATTTGATTACCCCAGTAGATAGAGTGGTGGAATGATGTGTTTTTCAGAAGTTGAACGATAAAAATTCATTTTTTAGACCAGAAATCCAATTCGGCAATTTCTGATTAGTTATCGAGGAGTATTTGTACTATTTCGGGTGTTGATTGGAATATTCATGAGTTATTATTGACTCAAGACTCCGAGAATAATTTGTTTGAACGAAATGGAGAATTTTATTTATCGACTAAATATCGAAACATGATTTGTTTCAATTCAATTCTTTCATATTTGCAATTCTATTTATGTGAGGTAAATGGCTCTTCATAAAAAGAATAACTGATAAATCTTTCATAATTTTAAAACATTGAAATTCATAATATTAATTAAAATAATAAAAATATTTTAAATAAGAAAATTCAATTTCAATCGCTATTCTATTTTTCACAATTGAAGTCCAAAATTTAAATAGAAAAACGGAATGAACACACCTCTGATGTTATAAAGGATCAATACTATTTCTCTTTAGCTTCTCGCAAATTTTCCTTTGAATGCAGATGATTTTACACAACCAAGGACTTCATAGCACGATAACTTATCTCTAGATCTGTAATTGCACTCTACTCGATCCTTCTCCTTTGTACAAACTAAAATGCATTCCACTTGAACAGTTACCTAACGACAGCACATGAATCTTTTATGCATGCCAACAATTAATCTGTCATCTCAGTTTCTTCCTCGAACATTTTAAAAGCAGTACAGGATTGAAGAGTATTTTTAGCAATCCCACCGACACTCACATTTCTCATCAACAGAGAAAAAAAAGTTTTCATTTTCAAGGACTCGCCTGTAATTTTCGATTATTGATCCCATATTTTTGGGATTCTGAATCTTAACTTACATTAAATCCCCGAAAATTCGGGATTTCCTCATTGAAAAATAGAGAAATAAAAAAAAATAGATTTTCATTTTTCACAATAATTTTAACAGAAACATTAAAATTCAATTCAAATTTATTGACTTTTCCTCTTTAATGCAAGAGCTTGGTTGTAATTATCAGAATGAGTCAAAAATTATTAATATGATTGTTATGAGTTATTTATCCTCAATTAAAAATTATCGTTACAATGAAAAGAGAATACTTTTACTAAATTTTTTATTGGTGATTAATTTTAGGATATGTCGGTCGTTAAATGGACTTTTTGTTTCTCTGTATTTAACCGATTCTTCACGGAAAATTGATTAACAATATTGGGGCTATTTGGGATGTACAGATAAACGAGGGCTCAGCCTCTACGAGTACGGGTGAAACCCCTGAAAAAGACGTGACCAACAGCCACATCACTGTTACTTTGGCAGATGGGTAAATAATATCCATTTATTATGGATTTCCGGATATTCAAGTACTTGATTACCAAATTTTTACCAAGCGAGAATTAATTTCCTGTAAACGCCTCAATTGATTTTTCTAATTAAATTTAAATCTATTATCAAAAAAATGAAAAAGTACTTGGAAATCCTTGATAGTTCCCTTTTGGAATGACGTAGCATTCGTTGCAAGTAGTTTTTTGGTAATTTAAAGGGATCAGAAGAATAATCCTTTGTATCATGAACTAATTAGTAATTACATATTTTACTTTGATAACAAATCTCCCGGGGTCATCCATTGGTTCAAAGATGTTATAATCATGCGATTTTTTCTCTTACAAGTTTCCCTGGAATATCATTAAGAACTCTCTAGAGGTGGAAAATTACAGAAACTCGCGAGAAACTTTGCGGTAGAAATTTTCAGCAAAAAAAGAAATATCGATTTCTGAAAGATAGTTTAAAAGATTTGTTCATTCTGTAGAGACAGATGAATCAAAGTGAGAAATGTTTAAAGGTGAGAAATAATTTAAATATATATCCAAAAATGTGAGGCGGTGGGCGCACTTAACTACCGCCATTTTGGTGGAGACCCTCTCTGTTTTTGAGATGTCATCTCCACCTCGCATTTTTAAACACGTGTCGAAATTATTCAGCTCCTTCATATTACTGCCAGCTTGGTTTATACTATTCCTCGGAAATGAACAAATCTTTTGAGCTATTCTGTCAATTATTAAAAAATTTTAATTATTATGATAATCATTCTGAGAAAATTGCACGATTTTACAAATTGTGGATTCATTGCGTCGGATGATCTCGAGGATAATTTCCGGAATATACCGTTGAACCTTAGGGTAATATTCTTCTCAATTTCCGTAGTCAACCAGGAAATCGTAATATTCCGGTGAAGCTGAGCAACGGGACAGTGCCGAAGGGTCTCGTTAAGGACGAAGTAGAATCGAAAGACCGCCGCGAGACATTGGAAAAGCAGAAGAGCTATCCCGAAGAGCAGAAGCTCCTGGTAAATATTCAGATAAAATTTAAAGAGCAAGTCAATTTCACTGATGAATTAATTTCCGGTCTCTTCAGCCGAGAGTGAACGCAAACAGAATCAATGAGCGCAGAGCTAGCAGTCCGTTTCAGAATGGCAGAACTGAGGTGCTAATTGGCGAACCTGAGGGCGGACCAAGGTCACCCAGAGGCTCTACTTCATCAGCCATCAATGATGGAAATCTCCTGAATCTTCCTAGAGAAATCGACAATCCAGAAGCTATTTACAGGTAAGTCAAAAATTCTGTTTCACGACCACTCTATCATTTTAGGTCAGAATCATGACCTGGCGGTTATAGGATTATTTAAGCCACTTTGTGCTGGTACATTTAGGATGGAAATATAATTACATGTACGGGTTCAGACAGGGAGAAATTCACCAAAAAATTACGGAGTGAACGCAATATTCTTTCTAGAATTTTGCATAATTTTTATGTAGCTACAGAAAAAAATTCTGTGACGAAAGGAATCTTTAATTTTTATAAAGCTTCTAAATTAAAAAAAAAAAAGTATTCTAGAAATCTTTTTGCAATTTTTTTAAACAGATTTTCTCTCTCTTTAAAAAAAAGTTGTTTTAATTATTGAAACCATTAGTTTTTTTTTTCAATTCCAAAATATGGATTTCTTTGTGACCTACACTGACCACTGGCTAATAAGATAAATAACAGATCATGGTGATGGGTTTTGAGGTAGCACTTGGTTCTGTCGTCAAAAGGTGGCGCAGGAAACACCTGTGGGTGTCTTTTTCTCATGAAAAAAGAATAAAACGAATGGAAAATAATTACTTGGAATAGGACACGAATAGAATTGTAGAATAACTTAGCAGTCCCACTTCATTTGCATATTTGAAGAAATTCGTCTTGAAATATATTTTTTTCTTGTGGGTTTTCCCCCCTCGTAATTTCGTCGTGAAAGGGTCACTACCCCCTAACGAGAATTTTTCCCTCGAAAAATAAATTGAAGTTGAGGTGAAGAGTTTGTGCCAATTAGAGCCGGAAATATAGTCACTCATTCTACTCAAAGAATAGATCATCGCGCCCTCCCACCCACAGGGTCGTTACTAAAATCCTCGGGGTCAATCCCCGACTGGACCTCCACTGAGGTCTAACCTCGTGGTTTATGTAGTCGTATGAAAAATGAGGGGGTCGATGTGGTACATAATGATGTTGTTTGAAGTTGCTCGAGGCCATCGGCGTAAGTCCCTTCAGAGAGAAAATTCATCTCTTGACATTCCGATTTATTCATGAGAAGCTCGTCGCACAGCGGCGAAGAATGCCGTGTTTACGCTCGAAACGAATGTGTAGAAGATTTTCTACGAGTTATTTCCCTTTGAAAGGTTTCGACACGAAAAAAAAATGATCGATGCGCAGCGAAAATTTTGAATAGTGAATTCTCAATCAAGGAAGCATAAAAATACCTAAAACAGCGTTTAAAAGATTTGTTCATTCCATAGGGAGAGAATGCAAAGAGTCCAGGATAATTTGAAAATAATAAATCATTTTTATAATTGTTTAAAAATGCGAGGTGGAATTGCTGCCATTTTATCAGCTTCTCGCGGCAGCGGGAGGGGGTGTTTCGAACAAGATGGCCGCATCCATAACTTGTATACAAATGACTTGCATTTCTTATATTTACAAATTATCAATGAATTAATTAATTACAATTGTAGATTCCATTCCGTGTATTCATGTTTTTATTAATTATGGGTTGAACAATTTCATTGATTTTCTGGTGGAGTTTGGAATTTTCAAGCAATTCGCTGGGGAAAATGTCGAGTGAACGTTCACAAGATGCATTCACAAGATACATGAGACTCAGGGGCGTTTCTGCATAGAATGCTGATGTTACGAGTGCAGCGTGAGAGTAATTCACTCACTGATGCGTAGCCTCGGTAAAAAAATGGAGGAAATAGTCCATGGTCATGGTACCAGGGCTTCGCACAGTAGAATATTGCTATCATGCCGAGTGTAAATACTTGACATTGATCCACCCAATTCTCATTCTCAAAGCTTGTTCAACGTTCAATGTATCTATCAAGTTACAATGTCGATCCAGTGTCACCGTATCATTTAACGCCTTGGGATAATGTATTTCCAGTGTGAAGTTCATGTAATTGTAATGGAATAAAGAGGGGCAGAGAAATAATTTTGAACACAGTGGATTTAATACGTTAATTTCAGTTTATTAGAAATAGCACGAGGAAGAAATGTCTGTTCACTACAACCTGCCACAGCAGACTAAAAGTGATCAACGAGACCAAAAAAAAAATCGTTATAATGTGACAAAGGATCCCCAGTCCCTTTGCCACATGACGCCATGGCTTCTGTTTATGTCTACTGATAATACTATATATATATACTAAAAATAGGGATAATTTTTCAGGAAAAATTGAGACTCTGACATCCGGTCAAAGTTCAACAATTTTTACGGCATACGAAAAACAGCGGTTTTTTCGTCTTTTCCTCACACTATCGCAGAAACGATGGCCTGCTAAGAAATAAAACTCCGTATTGAAGTAGACTAATAGTCAATCTAATGAATGAGAGTAGTCCTATAGCCATGCGATTTTTTTTTCGCCAAGATACATGCCTCCAATGTTTGCGGACTCTACATATGAAAAGGATAGTAGTCCCAACATCTCTCTCTATGTTGATACATTTTTGAAACCATAGACTCATAGGAATCAATTCGTAGAAGACTGAGGCTATATTCCCACAAATTGTTATCATAAATTTTTCCGCAATTTTCCATTGAAAAAAAACGCCCAATCAATAAACCATAATTCCATAAAATATGGAGTTTCTCCTATTAATGAATAAATGAATATCTACGTAATTACAAAAGATCCCGGAAATTCTACTGAGAAATTTACTGTATTTCCCAATTTTTTGATTATCATCTTAAAGATACAAATAGAAGATTACGGATTCAGTTTATATCCAGGTGGTTTCCACTATTTTTACTTTAATTAATTAATTCACGGTTGATTTAAATTAATATTTTTTCAAAAATCCTTCCAACAGTTGCCAGACAAAATGAAAACCTCACTGCTTTCTATCAGTTTCTAATTTCTAAGTCTATGGTTTATTCTCCAAAAATAGCGCAAACCTGTGATTATTATAAAATATTAAATTCATTTCAACCATCACCTCCCCTGTTTCTTGTATTTTCTGGCTTTTCACTGGAAATCTGGCTTATCAGTCTCGGGTGACAAATCCTCCAAAAATTTCCAGAATTTTTCAAATATTCCTGTTCTCAGCACCTGATACGGACCTTTTAAAGCCCCTCTCTCACCTTCAGGAAGACAGGTATTACGTGTGAATGTAGTTGTAAGGGTCTAGGGTTTGTTCCCCTCCAGGCAGTATCACCTGCCTCAAAAAAACCGAAGGGGAATAAAAACATGCACCTGACAGCCGGAAAGGACCCATTCTGCTTTCCCCTTCGTCAACATCACACATGACTCATGATTCGATTGATAAATTCTCGCCACGTGGGCACTCATCCAAGTTGTTTACATCGAATTCTTGTCATCAATACCTTAAATCTCCCTGAAATCCATAAAGACAAAAATTACACAAAGTTGGAAGAAATTGCTGGATTCCTTCTCTAAAATTACAGGTGTAACGAAATTGTTAATTAAATTTTTAATTTGAAAAGATCTGAAGGCAAAGTATATAGTTATAAAATACATCATGTATAAAATGCATAATTATTTTATAATAATAATTATTATTATACAATAATAGAAGTTTTTTTAGATTAACATATATATACCTATATATTATTGTTAAATAATATGAAATTATATATATGTTTAGGGGAAAGGCGGAGTCATGGATGCATATTTGAGTAATTAACACGGAATTTTAATTCTGTATACTAAATTTAATTGATAAACACTTAAACAATGATAAACATCCGATTTCTAGTACGTTAAGGATGTTTTGCTGGTATTTTGTTATTTTTCCTGTTTTTCTGAGATTTATTGAAAACTATCGATTGAATTGGGATATGAAACTATGGCGTTTGTCCGTTCCATCATGATTGACTCTTGCATGAAGTTTCATCCCGATACACTAATTTGTGTAACTTTTCACTAAAATTTATTAAAAAATCAATAAATTTTAGTGAAAAGTTATAAAAATTGGTGTATCGGGATGAAACTTTGTGAGAGGATAAATCATGATGTAACGGACAAACACTATATTTTCATATCCCAATCCGATCGATAGTTTTCAATAAATCTCAGAAAAATAGAAAAAGTAACAAAATACCAGCAGAACATCTTTAAAGACTATTTGCACGTAGCACGTAGGATTATTTTTTATAGTCTCGACGATTCAATTCGGGACTATTGGAAAAAAATGGTGATAGGGAGGCCCATTAGACGCAAATTAATGACGCAAATTAATAAATTAATTAACCCACCTCTCCCCTATTTTGAAAATTGGCAGAATTTTATGTTAATATTAATGAATTAGAAGCGGTAAATTCGGAAAATTGTGGAAAATTTTGGAAAATTTTAGCTTCTGTCCTAAACCCAGTACAACTTTCTTGGTATTGACATTTGATAGAGTTATCTTCGAGGAGTGAAACATCTAAAAATAGAATTGTAATAAAATCTCTCATTACCCGGTGAAACCCCAGGCAAATGAAGTCAGAGGCAATGAGTACACGAGGCTCTTGATAAGCATTTTGATATCAGGTGCTAACCCATTGTGATAAAACGACATTCCGGGGCACCAGTTCTCATTTCTCCTCTTCAATACTCACGCCTATCTCGATATAAGTACACGGATATCAATTTAGATCAGTGATTACTCTCAAATATTTCGTTGTCGTGAAAATTCATATTTTTCCTGTGAAATTCCATGTTATTTTTTGACGTGCTGAAGTTGTGGATTTTTCAATTGAATATCTTAAATTTTTCTCTTGAGTAAAATTTCATTAAAAAATCATTTCATCATTGAAAATTCCAAATTTATTTAAATAATTGAGATGCATTGGCAATTAACTCACACGCTCACTAAAATTCAAGAGTTAATGCTGTCAGAATGACCTCTGAGTCACAGATCATAAAAGCCATCTTGTCAGGAAAAATAAATTTTAATATTTAAAACGATTAAATTATTTCTAAACAGGATAAAATCGAATAACAATAATAGCTGATAATCCATAACATTAATAACAATAATCGATCTTTTTCTAAAAAATAAATAGTGAAATAGTG